GGTATCGATGAGCTTGATAGACCAACTCCTGTGCCCATGACGAGCGGCCCAGGTGAGCCGCGTGTCCTGCCTCTCCTTGTTTCCTGCCTCGCGTCGAGCTCGTCCGCTTGCGACGTCCGAGCGCTCCGAGCCCTCCGAGCCCTCCGAGCCCTCCGAGCCCTCCGAGCCGGCCCCTCCGAGCCCTCCGAGGGCGGCGGACGCGCGGCACGTCGCTCGCGGCCCAGCTCGACGCGCGGCACGCCACCGAGAGGCAGGACACGCTGCTCACCTGGGCCGCTCGTCATGGGCCCAGGAGTTGCTCTCTCCGTTCACAGTAGGGTGATAAGAAACAAGAACCTCGCATGCGACGACAGTGAGGGTGTGAGAGACACAAAGGAGCGACGTGCGACCTGTCAGAGCTTGATCTCCGATCTCAGCGGTGTCGAGTCGTCTCCGGCGCGCAACAAATGTACCTCCCAGGACGCGCAGAGGCAGCTGCGACCCCGCCGAGTAGACGGGCGCACACGGCAGAGTGCAGTCTATAGCGACTAGCCTTCATGAATAGCGACCGTCTGGCGGTACCGCGTAAGTAGCCCCTTCCCCTTCTCCTCCCTTGCCTGGCCCTCACGGGGCGCAGTACTCTTGCAGCACGTTGGGCGGCGCAAAGAGCAGAAAGCACGCGGCGCCGTGGGCCCCGCCGCGCGGTGGCACGACGGCGATGCCCTGCGGCCGTCTGGCATCGACCTGCAGAGCGGCGAGAGGAGGGGCGCGTCAGATCGCGTCTGACTCTAAAGGTCTGCACCTGCGGCCGTGGCCGAGAGGTGCGTAGCCCAGATGCAGCCAGTGCTGATGCCCAGCCGACAGCGAGATGCAGCCGAGGTGCAGCCGAGGTGCAGCCGAGGTGCAGCCGAGGTGCAGCCGAGGTGCAGCCGAGGTGTAGCCGAGGTCGGTGAGAGAAGCTAGCGAGATCGCGCCCGCAGCGTTGGGGGGACGAGTGTGCCGTTGAGCGTGTACACGAGCACCATCCTCTCTTGCGCACCTGCTCGTCGCAGCCAGGGCGTGGCGTCCGGTGCATGAAGAGACGGGCTACCTTATTCATCTAGCAGCGACGGGTCTCTCAGGAAGTGTCTAGGCAGTGTCTAGGAAGTGTCTAGGAAGCTACTTTGTTCATCTAGCAGCGACGGGTCTCTCGCCTCTCGGGACATTTCTCGGATGCGTCTCTTGCTCATTCGCGCTTAGAAGGACCAGTCTGCCGTGTCCAGGAAGTGTCTAGGAAGTGCCTAGGAAGTCGGTCTCTTGCTAATTCGCGCTCAGAAGGACGAGTCTGCCGTCGGCGTCCGGGTCGGCGTCAGGCGCGTAGGTGATGCCCGCCAGGTCCTCGATCCTCGCGTTGTTGGCCTGCGGACGAGTGATGGACGTGTCGTGGACGTGACATGGACACGTGTCCTCGACTCGCGCGTTGGCGTAGCCGGCAGCTGCTTCACGAGGAGGACGTCGTTCCTGTTCACACCCCGCAAGCTGTGAACAACGACATGCAGCGGCCAACAGCTGCCCCTGTCGGCGCGTCGCTCCTCGGCTGCCGCCCCGTCGCCAGGATCATCGGCACCTTTGCAGGGCGGGGAAACGTCTAGGACGTGTCTCTACGAAGTGTCGAGGAAGTGTCGAGGGATTGTCGAGAAATGTCTAGGAAGATTGTGTCTCGGAAGTGTCTCTAGGAAGTGAGTGTCTCTAGGAAGTGAGTGTCTCTAGGAAGTGAGTGTCTCTAGGAAGTGAGTGTCTCTAGGAAGTGTCTCTTGAAGTGTCGAGGGAGTGTCGAAGACGCGGCACCCCTGCGGCATCGGAGACGAAGTGGTAGGCCGACGGCCGCGTCGGCGTCGCCTGTAGGAAAGTTCCGAGAAGCTTCGCGCGCGCGGAGGGATTAGCGGTACAGAACGAGGGGAGTATCGCCGCGACATACGCTACGCCCAGCACGCCACTGCCCGGCATCACGCCGGCCATGCCTGGGATGGGCGATCCGAGGCCGAAGCCGGTGCTGATCCAGCCGGCGCCTATTAATTAGTTAATCAGCAGTTAATTAATTAGCGCACCTGAGGCCGAAACCGGTGCTGATCCAGCCGGCGCCTCCGCCGTTCGCGGGGAAGGACGACGGCGTGCTGGCGCCGGCCACGCCGAGCGAGGCCGGGGGCGGAGAGGGCGGGGAGTGCGCAGCCGCCAAGTACGGAGACGGGTGGGTGAGGACTTGTCGCTCTGGCTGGCCTGAGACATTGAACAGTAATGAACAACGGTCAACCAACTAGGTGGGGAGTCGTCGCCCTGGCTGGCCTCGTGCGCCCAGGGTCGAGAGGAATCCCCGCCCACCTCCTCCTCCTCCTCCTCCTCCTCCTCCTGCTGCTGCTGCTCCTCCGCGTCCGCCTCCGCCGCCGCCGCCGCCTCCTCCTCCTAATCCTCCTCCTCCGCCGCCGCCGCCGCCTCCGAGCAGCGGCGCCGATAGCTCGACTTCGACCAAATGTCCGCTCACCTTGTCCGCCACAATCAGGGATGAATCATTTAATTAAGGAGCTGATGAATCCGCAGTTAATTAATTAGCTCACCTTGTCCGCCACAACCACAACGCGACCCGCGACGAAGGATACGCCTGCAGCGGACGTGTCGTGGACGTGTCGTGGACGTGTCATGCAATGGGCAGATCCTGCCAGACGAAGGACACGCCTGCACAGTGCACGTGTCGTGGACGTGTCGTGGACGTGTCATACAATGGACAGGTCGCTGTCAGACAAAGGACGCGCGCCTTCCGGCTCGCGGAAGCCGCGCAGCTCGTACACGGCCAGCAGCACCGGATCTCCGCCCGCCGAGCCCATCACGTACTCCCTCAGCTGCGCCGGCTCGCACGTCAGGGCGACAAGCCAGAGGTTGCCGTCGCCGTCGACCTGCAGCACCGCGCCGTCGACGAGGTCGCCTAGTCCGCCAGGGTACTGCTGTGGGGTGGACATGCGTGGCCTCCACTGGTCTGCTGCGAGGCATCGCCTGTACACAAGTCACGTGCTGATTGATTGAGAACCTCCTTTAGCACGCTGCGGCGATGCGGCGTCTCGAGCGCTGCCGTTGACGCCGCTCAGCGTCCAGCCGCCCGTCTTGCGAAACCCGTCCAGCGAGAAGGGCGCGCGCGGCGGCCGTGGCGGCAGCGGCGGTGCAATCGGCGGCGGCGGCGGGGAGGCGGGTGGCGGCGGCGGCGGGGGGGCGGGAGGCGACGGCGGCGAGGGAGACGGCGGCGGCGGCGGTGGTGCCGGCGGAGGAAAAGGACGCGGCGGCGAGGGCGGTGATGGTGGCGGCAAAGGCGGGGACGGGGGCGGGGTCGGGGGTGCAGGCAGGCTGGGGGGAGGCGACGGCGGCGACGGCGGAAGAAGGGGAGGCGAGGGCGGTGACGGCGGCGACGGCGGCGGCGGCGGCGGCGGCGGCGGAGCCGAGGGCGGCGAGGGAGGCGGATATGGAGCATTCGCACTCGAAAGCCACCATGGCGTTGGCGGTGGCGGCGAAGGACGTGGTGGAGGCGTCGGCGGCGGCGGCGAGGGCAGCGGCACAGGGGGCAGAGAGGGCGGAAGCGATGGCGGCGGCGACGAAAACAAATACAGTGATACGATGTCCAAGGCTGGGACGCTAGATCGTAGCGCAAATAGCCCAAGGAAGCATACGGCAATCCACGAGCATAGGAACAAGCATCCTAGCCTCATCACGGAGGGGCGGGCCGCTTTGTCAGCCTCCGACGAGATGAGTCGGTGGAACGAGTTGCTCTGGCTGAGCCGCACGCTTACCTCGCGTTGTTTGTTCATTCTGCCTCGGTCCATGGCCTACCTGTGTACCTGTGGCCGACAGCGATTCGAAGCCGATTCCACAGGTGAGTCCGTCCTGTCCCCCCTTGGTGAGTGTGTGTGTGTGTGTGTGAAAGCGCCGTCGCAACTGCCATGTCGGCAGGTTGTAGGCTGGTGCTCTCGCCCCGCTGGCGGCGCGGACCGGTGCCGCGGCTCCGAGCCCTCCTGTGGGCCCGCGGCGGCTCGCCGTCGCGGTGCCGAACAATGTCATCGGTCCGGATTCATCCCGGCTGCCGCCGGTGACGCTTCTTCGCCGAAATTTTGCTCAAGCTCTTTGTCGACAAACCTGCCCCAAAGCTCCTGCTGCTCGACTGCGCGGCGGAACCGGCCCCTGGATGCTGAGATGTGAGGCGCCGGCACCGGGGCTACAACGCGGGGCCATCTCCAGGCTGTCTCGGGCAACCTCAAAATTGGCGCCTCTCTCTGCTGCTGCTGCTGCTGCTGCTGGTGCTGCTGCTGGTGCAGATGCTGCTGCTGGTGCGGCGCGGCTCTCCGACTCGAGTCGACGCGCGCGTCGCGGGCATCTGACGCGGCGGGCGGCGTCGCGGGCGGCAGCGATCGCGGCTCGACGGTGGAGGCGGAGGGTGGTGGCTGTGGTGGACCTTTGAGTTTATTTAATGGTCGAGTACGAGGACTGGGGGGTCAACCGGGAGGCAGGGGGTTCAACCAGGCGACGGAGGACCGTGGGCCATCGCGGGGACCACTCAGCCCGGAGGGCGCGGTGGAAAGATCCGGATGGTCTCACCCGGTGGGATCGGGAGATCGAGCCACCTCTCTCTGGTCGACAAATCGCGCCCGCACCCGCGGCCTCCCTATCGTCCTCGGCTCGCCCCCCCCCCTCCGCCGGCTCCTCTTCAGGCTCGGGGAGGCGTGGCCCTCCCCGTCGAATATCACGGTGGTTCGGCTGCCACCGCGACGGGCCTTCCCCCGGTGAGCTCGTACATCCCGACTCCACTCTCAGAGGCCGGTCAGCTCATCTCTCGCCTCCTCCGACAACTGACCCCAAGCCCCCTCTGGGGCTCTCCGGCCTCAGCCTTCCGGTTCGCCTCTCTCTATCACGTTGGCTCGCCGGCGGGCCTGTTATCACGTTGCGGCAACTTCCCCCCTCCAGCTCCTCCTCCCGGGTACTCCAGCCTCCGGCGGGGCGGTCCCGGATCCCCTAGGTTACTCCGAGCGGGTTCCATACGGTGGCGGCCCCGCCGGCGACGGGGGTGGAGGCGGTGGCGGCGGTGGCGGGTACGGTGGCGGCCCTGACAGCCGCAACGCCTGGTGTGGAGCCGCTGGGGCGGCCCCTCGACCCTGCAGCCGTTCCAGCGGCGGGGGCGGAGGTGGTAGTGTGGGTGGCGGAAACGGTGGCGGCCGCGGCGGCCGCACCGCCGGGCGTGGAGCCCCAGCGACGGCCCCTCGACCCAGCGGCCCTTGGAGCACTTGGAGTGCAGTCATTAACCGCACATCCAGGGCCGGGGAGCTAAGAAGCGCACCCAGCGGGCCGGATGATCGGTATCGGGTTACGGGCTAGAGAGCCCTAGCCCCGGGGGTGCGCGTTCGCAGGGAAAGGGCCTTAAAGTAAACACGCACGGTTCTCCGAGGGTTGGTTGGTCTCCCAGTGACGTCGAGCGAGCTATTTTTCAGTGCATGTATGTATGTATGTAGAAAGATGAACAACAGTCAGGCTCGGACTGGACACCAACGCGGTATGGGTGGACGGCGGGACAGATGATGACGATACGCACGAGCGACACACAGACACAAACAAGCTCACAAGACACACACACAGCCAGCTGGCTGCCACACACCCTGAGTTGGCGTACACATAACTCAAGGCCGCGCCCCCCCCCTGTCGCCTTCCCCAGCCCAGGTGCCGAAGTGCATGTAGCTCTTACGTAGGTAGGCTCTTTTGAGCGCGTGACGGTGGAGGCAAACCCCGGAAAGTGGGTCAAAAATGGCCCCCGCCACGTGTGGGCGCGTATCTTAGCTAAGGCTCGCGCCCTGACGTGTAAGTGCTCATGTGCACCGAGCCCATATACGCACACCTGCATGTGTGGACGCGAGTATTAACTAAGATGAGCGCCCACGCATGAGGATGCGCGTCTGCGTCCAGGTAGCCCAGATACGCGTCTTCGTGTCTGGGCGCTTATCTTGAGTAAGGCTCGCGCCTACACGTGTAGCTGCGTATCTTGAGATGAGCGCCAATACTTCACGGCGGCCCCCTCGGGGCGCTTGCGGACGACAAAGAAGGTGCGGCCTCCTCCGTCAAGTCCTCCTCTCGCGCAGGCCGGGGTTGAGACACTTGGCCACGGCTGGCTCGACGACCGTCGCCACGTCTTTCCACTCGATGTTGCTGACCGCCATGTGGTCTGAACGCTTCGCTACCCGGCCGCCGCGGGCACCTCGGCGCCGGCATCATCCTACGCGGCATCAAGGAGATCCGCCATAAAGCAGCGCCCAGCAAGCCAGGGACAGATGACACAGGCGACTTGAGCGCGTATCACCCAAAACTATTCACTTTTGAGCGCCATATGCGCAGGTGCGTATGTCAACATACGCGCCTCCACGTGTGAGCGCTCATATTGACTAATATTCGCGTCTGCATGTTGGGAGCGTATGCTGACCGCCACGCACCCACGCCGACACCGCGAGTACTAGCTAAGATAGGCGCCACAAGCGTGGGCGCTCATCTCAAGATACGCAGCTACACGTGTAGGCGCGAGCCTTACTCAAGATAAGCGCCCAGACACGAAGACGCGTATCTGGGCTACCTGGACGCAGACGCGCATCCTCATGCGTGGGCGCTCATCTTAGTTAATACTCGCGTCTACACATGCAGGTGCGTATATGGGCTCGGTGCACATGAGCACTTACACGTCAGGGCGCGAGCCTTAGCTAAGATACGCGCCCACACGTGGCGGGGGCCATTTTTGACCCACTTTCCGGGTTTGCCGACGGTGGATTGTAGTCGATTGTCAAAGCGAGAGCTTCGCAAAGCGTCTGTCGCTGCGATGCTTGAGAGCATCGCAGTCTCGCCTCAGCTGAGGCCGGCCATGCGCCTCCAGCGCACGGACAGCCTCTGGAACGCGGCGGTATTCAGCCAGCACTCGAGGGATGCGGCATACGTTCGGGATGCTGGAGTACAGGCTGGCTTATTGAGCGCCTGCTCCGACGCAGTGAGCCAGGTAGTACGGGTGGCACACGTTGACATGGCGCACGTTGCCGCCATGGCGCTGCTCGCGTGCTTGCTCTCCGGGATGGCGAACGCCGTTTGGATGCGATTCTTGGAGAAGAGCTTCCCCGGTGGCACCCTGATAGCCGTCTCGTTGAAGACTCTGGTTGACTATGGGTGCTGTGCGACGTCCTTCAACGCGTTCTTCCTCGTCGGCATCCCATGGCTCACGGCTGTCTTTGCTGCCCTGGCCTCGGACGGGCTCAGCCCTGCCCCGGCCTCCCTCCTCGAGCACTGGAGCGTGGAGGACTGGCACGCGCTGATGCGGCTCGAGGCGTGCACCTTTGTGCCCTACAACCTCCTCGCCTTTCGGCTGGTGCCGGTGCACTTGCGCCCCCTCGGGTCCGCGAGCCTCTCCGCTGTGTGCACAGTGGTCCTTTCGGGCGTGACGCTGGGGTTTGGATAATATCGCAGCGGCACAACTGCTCTCACCTCTCTGTGAAGCGACCACACGTGTGGAGTGTCTGCCGCGGTTATAGCCCCCCGCTACCCGGTTGCACTCGTGCGACGTAGCGGGGGGCCACGACTACGTTTACGAAAACATAAGTAGTCCTGCGAGGTGTGAATTTCGCCGCCCCAGTAGCTCCCTTTCAGGTTCCTGGTTTTTCGGCGCGTTTGCCGTTTCCCCAGATAGATCGTTAGATGCGCCACTCCCACACACTTGCCACAACCGTATCGCGCCGGCCTCACCGGCCCTCACTTTGACCGACGCTACCGTCCGCTCGACTGGCCCGATGAAGAGCGACCCGTACGACGCGCACTTGTCGTCCTCCCTCCTCGCCACATGACGGCCGCCCCCAGACACCGACAGTCGCGCTCCGCACGCCTCTTGCTCTTCGCGCGGAGAGTCAGCACTCAGGTGTCAAAAAAAACTGTTCAGTTTTCAAAGGCAAAACACGACGCTCTGCGGTTGGTGCACCCCTCACACTGACACATTCCCCTCATCCCTTACCCTTGGCTGAGCACATCTACCTGCGAGCTAGTCTCTCCGCATTCTCTCCCCTAGTCATCCGCCCGCGCCGCGCGCCATCTAATGGGCGTCTAGTGCAGCCACTGACGGCACTATTCCAAAGGAGCGGTCGATGCCTCGCCTAGAGTTCGGGTGGACTTGCGCACTGCTTAGCCCTGAGGGGGGAGTGTGTGTGAGGTGGTGTAATGTTGTCCCGTTTCAGGCGGCAGGTCAGGGGATTAGCCGGGAGGATTCGGCAGCTCAGCCGGGGGCTGAGCGTCTGCAGGCAGCCTTCCGCTCGCGCCGAAATTCACAGCCCTCCCGGGCCGACGGGGTGCTCCTTGGATCGGGCCCCGCTCCCCGCTTTTCCTGTACCTGGACTGTCCGGGTCAGGAGGGTGAGAGTATTGGGTGGGCGAGGGCAGTACATCTGGCGGGTGGCAATTGAGGGACAGCAAGAGGGCTGATTGGGGGGTCAATGGGCGCGCGGGCGGCGCTTCGTGGTCCTGGGCGAGCAGGGGCAGTGGTTAGGAGTCTTGGGCCTGGAGATATGAGGATTGTCGAGATGTTGTGCGAGAGCGGTAGGTGGGGGGAGGTAGCGCGGCTGGAGAGTGGTGTCCGAGGGACAGTGATGAGTTGTCAGTTGGGGCGCGAGACGCGCGGGACAGTGTTGGAGGCGGCCAGTGAGGTAGGGTTGGCTTTGAGCAGTGCAGCGAGTGTGTGGTCAAGCGTGGGAGCGGCGCGCGAGCACCGGATTTTTTTGCTGTGCGAGTCGAGTTAGGGACAATGATGAGTTGTCAGTTGGGGCGCGAGACGCGCGGGACAGTGTTGGAGGCGGCCAGTGAGGTGGGGTTGGCTTTGAGCAGTGCAGCGAGTGTGTGGTCAAGCGTGGGAGCGGCGCGCGAGCACCGGATTTTTTTGCTGTGCGAGTCGAGTTCGTGGCCGGTGCGCGGGAAACTCGCCGAAAACCCGCGCAGCCGGCCGATTGTACGACCGAGGTCGCTGATTGTACGACCGAGGTCGCAGAGCCTTGGCGACGCGACGCGCACGTCGCCAAGGACTTCGTAAAATGTCAGAGTTTTTTCCAGCACTCAGGTGTCAGGTCTCAGCAGCGGCCGAGCGACGCGATCGCTCGTCTTCCCCGATTGCTGAGGCGCGGGCGCAGCGTTCTCAGAGAGGCGCTTTGTACTCGGGTTTGGTTGGTAGCGGGGGGCCCCGCCGGAGGCTGATTACTGATATTTTATGATAATTGATAATATGAGACGCTCATATTGTGACGAGTCTACATCGCTCTCACTCCCCACACGCCGTACCTCGTCTCAAAGCCTCCCAGCTCCCACACGGCACACTCTGAAGTGTTCCGCTTCTCTACGGAGAGCGCGCGACTCCACGCCACTCGCCAGCCCCCCATTGGCATTGCGCGAGGATCTCGCAACCCCGCCCGCCGAGGCCCGAGGCCGTCTCCTTCCCGCCCTCTCCCCACTGCCCGTCATGGCACCTCCGTGCCGCCCGATTCGAAGAAGGTCGTCGCCTGCTCGGCCGTCCAGCCAGACATGCGCTCGAGGTCGATCGGGACGTCGTCCGCCATCGCGTCGGATTGAATCGACTCGAGGTCGGCCAAGCTTAGTCGACGCGGCGCCCCCCCCACAGCTGGCTCCTCCGCCGCTGGCTCCCCCACCGGGGCCGCCCCCACCGCCGGGGTTTGCTCCCCCTCCGCCGCGACCGCCTCCTCCGCCTCCGCCGCCTCCACCGCCGCCCCGACCGCCACCGCGGCGATCCCCGCCTCGACCGCCGCCACCTCAGCCGCGGCAACCTCGGCCGCCGCCGCCTCGGCCGCCTCGGCCGCCTCGCCCCCCGGGGGCGTGGCCGCCGCCACGCCGTTCGGGGCGGGGGTGGTGTCTGGAGGGTCCGCCGGCTCCATCTCCGCCAGCTGGTCCGCGACGGCAAACGGCGGCGCGAGCGGCGCGGGAGCGGGCGGCGGCGGGGCCTCTGCTGCGGGCGGCGCCGCCGCGGGCGTGGCTTTCAGCTCGGCCAGCTTGGTCTTGGCGGGCGCCTTCCTGCGCGGCATGGCCTGCAGCGGCATGAAGCCGAGCGAGCTCGGCGGCGCCCCCTTCTTGATCATTCGTGTTGTCGTTCGTGCGCCGCAATCTGGGGCTCGGTCTTCGGCTGGACCTCCACCGGGGCGGCCGCCGTCGTTCATGGCGCCGGCTGCATTGGCTGGCGCGGTGTCACTTAGTGCGGCGGCACTTTCGTCGGGGTCGTCGGCGGCGGCTGCGGCTGCGGCGGCGGCGGCTGCGGCTGCGGCGGCGGCGGCTGCGGCTGCGGCGCGGCCTTGAGCGCCTCCATAGCCTGGTGGGCGACCGGCTTCAGCTGCGAGGGGTCGGCGAGCAGCGGCAGCAGCTGCTCGATCGGGAAGTCGAGCATCATACCTGCGGCGCCGAACGGCGCAAGCTGACGCGTGCACGTCGC